AAATCAATCCAATTTATCAACCAATCAGAAAAATCATGCACAAACATAAGAACAAAAATCAAAACAATGGGAGACACAACCAAAACAAAGAAATAAACAATGACGAATTTAAGGTCAATAAGAACCAACCAACATCGAGGTGCACAGAACAAGCTTTGAAACACATATGGAGGAATTCAAACACTTCACTTCTATTTGAAGTTTGTGCTGATGATGTCGTTCAGAAGGACGATGAAAGCTCGACGACTAAACCATCCAGCTCAGAGAACAAAACTCTACCAAAATCATCCACCTGAGCTACAAATCTTCTCCACCGAACACTGAAATGCTACTCGATTATATACACGTACATTAGAAAACAACTATAGAAAAGACAACCATATTAACAAATAAATCTAGAAATTCCACTAGTTGAAATGATGAGTCAATTGAAGCTGGACCACCATGGAGAACCTGGACGGCCGTTTCGCCCTAGTATGGGACTCCTCAGCAGTGCGCATCCACGATCCCGCCTTCCGAGACATTCGAACCCAGGACCTATCAGTATCGCGCACGAGCGACCCACGAAGTTGTGTCACCGTACACCATTGTCTTCAGTGAGTTGATATCTCACAACAGACCTTGTTGAACTCCACTAATAACGGTTTCTCACTAGAACTCCAGGAGTCTCTTGAAGTCAGTCACTAGTGTACAGATGATTATTATCAGAAGGGGTTTCGTGGAGATTTGTTTCTGATAATAATCATCTGCTCACTAGTGACTGACTTCAAGAGACAATGGTGTACGATGGCGCAATTTCGTGGATTGGTTGAAGTTAGACATTAACACCGTTGGATGCCGGCCGGCTCATTGGTCTAATGGTCAAGCGCTCGCACGCGAGACCGATAGGTCCTTGATCCGAATCTCGCGGGGGCGGGATCATGGATGCGCCCATACTAGGACGAAATGGCCGTCCAGTGCTTCCAGGTTTTCCATGGTGGTCTAGCTTCAAATGACTCATGATTTCAACTAGTGAAATTCCTAAAATCTCTACAAAACCTCTTCTGAAAGTAAATTTAGGCAAAAATGAAACAAATGAAATTGTCTTAAACTGTTTAAATTGATCTTCGTTATTTGAACTAATCAGTGAAGAAGCGGAAAAAAGAACCCATTGTTCGAGCGAATTTTGAAGAAGAAGAAGAAGGCATATTCGACCTTTCAAAAGCTTGAAGGTAAACTAAACAGACTGTCAGTTTCGTTCACATCAAGAATGACTCGAAGATCGAAACTTGACTAGAGATTGCTTGGATCTAGAGTAGCACAAATTTTGAATAATTTATCCCCTCTCCGTTAAAAAGATGAAGGACATATTAATAAAGTCAAAAAGAATCAACTGAAGTTAGAGAAAAAACTTGAGACAAAAGTGAAATATAACACTTTGGAAAAAGCTATTATTTTGATTGCATTTGTTCTAGAAAACGTGATATCCTCATATACAGTTAAAAATATGCTTGCGATCGATAATACATCAACATTCCTCAATAATAATTCTCAAACCATGTTGTTAGGTATGACTAGTGGCAGAATAAGGACAAATTTCGGCACTCCAGTTCTTTTCAAATTTTGAATGATATCGCCTCTCAAGCAAGATTATTATTATTATATGTATCAAACGATCCTTTTGGAAAATCGTTAACTTATTGTTTATTTACTTACTGATAATAAACAATAAAATTTTAATTTAAGAAAAGAAATAAATCACACACTAGTGGGAATTTATTCTCTATCTAACCATGGAGTCTAACCTTTATTAATAAAACTAGGTACTATCCGTTGTTATAGTAACCAAATGTTGTTATTAGGCGCTTTAACCAACCGGATTACAGATATGAAATAAAAAGCAGGAGAATGCGCATCAGCCTTGGTATATATATATATATATATATATATATATATATATATATATATATTGTAGGAAAAGTTCAGTGTGAAAAATCCAAGGCTTATACTATCATCTTAAAATCAAAAACATTGAAGACAAATGGAAAATATACCCAAGAACCCAAAAACCACCTTTTTCTTATTCGAGCTGCTGTCAACAATTTGTTCAATGTTAATAATAATTGCCATTGTGATCTGTGAATTATACACATATAACATAAGAATTGTCCCACTGACATTTTATGCAGGTTACTGGACAAGTCCATTTATCTTATTTACTGCCGTAATTTATTCTATTGAAAAAAGTAGACAAGATGGAAAATTTTACAAACTAGCCATATCCTTCGCTTTATTCAGCTTGCTTGTATGTTTAATCGGTATTATGCTCTCGTTATTTACAATATATTGGATTATTGACATCATAGATGCACAAGTTTATTATGAATATCGGGTAGAAATCATTGTTCAAACTGCATTGCTTATTTTGGCTAGTGGAATATGTCTAATTGATGTTTTCTCATTGACATGTTGTTGCTGTTCAAATGTTTCAACCGTATCAAAAGACACAATTACTCACCAAAATAATTTGAGAACTCATTCGAAAAATACACAACAATTACCAACTCAAATTACTAATGTCACAGATCCTTTACAACTACATTCTTACCCCCAAGGATATCAAGTAAACCAAGGTTATGATCAGAATTATAGTCAACCTAATAACTTCCCACCACCTTATAGTTAATAGCAGGAACCTTAAAATACATTCAGTTATAAAATTCTTTACTGTATAGTAGAAATTCCACGTAAAATGGCTTTGAAAATTAATACACCTGTCGTCGATACTAACTACAAACCTGCACCTCAACATTTGGTATTAAAGAAATTCCCACTCATTCTAATCACTTGTAAAGTAAAATGCTCATTTCCTTTCAGATTCTGGTTTTAATTACATAGAAATAGCTAGCCCCGAATAAAATGAGGCGATTTATGAAAAAATACTGCACAGACTTGTGTTTGACGAAAGATCTCCATTTTACATAATTGCAGTGTAGCCTTTTGAAAGTTAACTAAACCAAATGTAACTTAAGTAACCCACAACAAATACACACACATTCCGCACGAGATGCCGACACTTCCATCCTTTCCAAACGGAGTTAGTTTCGGAACCGGGACTGAAAACCAAACAACTTAAGCACTAGACTATTACCAACCATTGTCGGTTACTCGAATAATCCTAAGTACTTTATGTTTCAATAATGACAGTGATGCTTTTTGTTTCTGTAGACTATTTGATTTGATTTCTTTGAAGCGTCGGTTTTGTTTTATTACAAGATGTTTATTATGCATACAACAGTTACAGTTACGATACAGACGCCTCAATTTTAAATGTTTCAGGTCTCAAAATTCAGACCAATTATTATTGACACCAAACACTCCTCATTGTCTTAAGTGACTTATAAATACCATAAATACGGCAGCGAACTACCAGAGAGCAGCAAAAATGTAAAGGAGTGATTTAGTTATGTTCGCTAGCCAAAACAGCTGATCAAATAATATCGCGAATTGTATACACATAGTATATTACTGACTAATTACCGAAAATTATACGCAATTAAATTTAACCATTGATGAGATATTTAAGACGACATATACCTCAATATCAGATTTGTCCGCTGTTAATTAGTGGTTGGTGCATGAATAGAACTTCACTCGCAAAATACTTCCTCCCTGAGTCCAATAATATCAATCTGCGATCCGCTGTGACAAGTAACAGATTTTTTATAGTCATAACAACTAGCTATACAAATAGCAGCATTAGCAATTCACAAAGTTACAACACAAATAGTTAAACCCTTTTCGAGACATTACTGTTCAATAGCACAATGGGGCATTTTATTTATTACTTTGTGCTTAGCTTCTGGCGTCATATTAAAGGTTACAATTTACCTTAAACAAGTATGTGACCTACACTTTGTATGATCAACTATAAGCTTAAAAAAGTAGGCTTTTAATTAAAACTTTTAAGCGACTAAAAGTAACTAAGTTAGAACCACAACTTCATTACAAGCCACGCTATGTGCACCCATAATCCAAATCAAACTAAAAGTACGTAATGCCTGAGGATACCGAATAATTGAGCGTGTCGATCGCTTCACTTATCTTGGAAGTCTCATCAGCCCTTGTGGTCTGATGTGTGACGAAACCTCAGCACGGATACAGAAGGCTCGACTAGCTTTTACCAACTTGCGTCATTTATGGCGTAGGCGAGATATCCGTCTATCAACCAAAGGACGTGTTTACTGCACAGCAGTTCGTTCCATCCTACTTTATGGCAGTGAAACATGGCCAGTAAGAGTAGAGGATATCCGTAAGTTACTAGTACTTGATCATAGGTGTCTTCGAAATATTGCTCGTATATCCTGGGACTATCGAGTAAGTAACGCAGTTGTTAGGAAACGGGTACTAGGTAAGGATGTCAAATCAATTGATGAAGTAGTGAAACTTCATCAGTTGAGATGGCTGGGACACGTGTTACGCATGCCCGACGACTGACTGCCTCGATGTGTGATGTTCAGTGGTATAGGAGTAGGTTGGAAGAAAAGTAGGGGCGGCCAAACCAAAACATGGCACAATTCCATGAAGTCACTGACAAGTGAACTGAGTCATGTTGGTAGGTGTAGACTACCTGGTTGGGGACCGTGAGATGATAGCAACCGATGGTTAGAGACCCTGAATGACGTGGCTTAAAATCGTTTGCAATGGTGCAGGTGCATACACTCTTTGTGTTCTCCCGAATTTTGATCTCCTTATTCCTCCTTGTCTTTTTTTTTCTTCCCAAATTTATTTCACTGTATTATACTCTTTAAATAACATCTCCAAACACTAATCTTCCGATTACTACTTATACTCTTATTACCTCTACCACTACGGATTTGAATCGACAACTGCATCTCTGTGCTAATGTGGTGTGGCAACTCGAACTGATGTACGTACGTACGAAGTTCTACGTTGTTACTGACTGATACCGAATAACTATAAACCGGATTGTATTCAAAAGTTATCGTAACACGTCACATGTTTGGTGAACCATCTTCGTCAAGCTCTCTAACAACATTCTAGTACACTTAAAATAAAAGTTCCAATTCAATATTAAAACATCTGATTACTATTAAGAGCAAATTTACATTCGGAAAAGAAATTAAATGAGTTTATGGGATTCTAAATATTTTAGTAAGTGCTATGAAACCACAAAATATACGTATTATACGGTAGAACGATTTGATATTTTTTAAAAGAAGTGTACTCACTCTTAGTACGATTAACGGCTAGCCCTATTGATATACTTCAATACACAGGTTCAGTGTGTATATTTCTTTTCCTACGACTCATGTAACCAACTGAAGTTTACTCTCATTTATAGCAAATAATTTACAAATGTTATCCTTAAATAACTTACGTTTTATGAAAGCAATACGTATGGTATCAAAATAATAACATCAGCAAGATAACGAGAACGGAATGAACAAATTTTATACATCAGCGCGTAGGTTTAAAGAAGTTACAAAGAAGAATCTAGTCTAGCGGCGTGTGTTCGAATTTTTCCGAAAATTTTGTTCGGCGGAGCACCCAATATCAGATCACATATTGCACGTCGGGCCACTGCTATACGGTCATTGCTTCCTAGAATATGGATGGTTTCATCGGCAACGACTATGCGAGTCCGCGTAGCGTTTTCAATACACATACGAATACGACCTTTAGCACCGCAAATACGCCCCACTGCTCGAGCCATGTGATCACCCTGAAAAACAATTATCAGAAACCGTATTAGAAATGATATTAATCAAACGGTATCGTGTGACACATGCTATATTAAAAGTTTCGGCTTAACACCTCAGGGAATTTGTTATAAACTGAGTTCGGACTCTAACCTGACATTTGTTCAAGCGGATGGTATTACGCAGAAAAACGATATTTATTGTTTGGAGTTTTTTGTGCTCACCTTGATTTGAGTAGCCACGGATTATCACCATCTGTTGCAGGAAAATGGTTCGAAATCAGGCATACGAACTCATACATCGCAAATGAGTTGCATAACCAACTTCCAGAGTCTACAAATTACTACTGACCATACTTAAAGTTCAACTGCAACGTTTTTAGCCCACTTGTAAACCCAATTTGTGGGAAGCAACAGCATCGATGAACAAACTTTTCTAGTAGAATTACAGGCTGGTTCAATTGCTCTACGACAGGAGAACTATAATGACTTACATTTTAATGATTTTCGACAATTAGAGTCTACATTAAGAGCCTGTAGTTCATGTAGTATGTAACCGACGAAAAGTTTGATATGTGTCCAATGTTTTCAAAATCTGATGTTCTAAACTAAATTTCGAACGCTTCAGTATTAATTTACTTCAATACCACAACGGAATTTTATAAATAAACCAGGTGTACTTGAGACTGGTTTTGAACGAATGATACTGCATACTTTTCAATGACTCATTGTCACTTGAAACTCACAAACGTCAAATTAAGTATATTTTGACCTAACAGTTACTGCATATATGTATTATTTGCTAGAATTACGACCTTGACATCCACACTAAAGAAACACTAGCTAAGCTCTGAAAATCCTTATTACTCATGACGGGAGTTGTAATACTATACTTAAGAAAATAGTCAACCATGGTTGCAGGACTTAAAAACAATTGCTCGTATCTAAGTTGATGGATGAAAAACGTTAACTTACTCTGAGTGTTTGTTTCACATCCATTATGTGGAATGAATTGACGTAGATACCATCTATTCTGACCACAGCTAATGCGTCTTCGTACTTAAAGCCTTTCAGAAAAGCGCTCACGAAGTCACAACCCTTCTGTAAGTGCTGGGCATCTCTTGTTTCTGAAGATGGTTTGATAAATACTTTCCATAATTTCTTATCTGTTTTCATGCATACCATAAGTTTGAGCTGCTTTGTTAACACCTACTAGAAACTTTAGACAACATACAGATTTGTACCTCAACAATTGAAGGCCACGAATTGCGTATTGGTGTCCTGCGGTTTTTAGGGACAATCAAAGTCCTAATTTCACCAAGTTTGTTCTCCGGGGCTGTCATGTGCAGATTTACAAACTGAGCGCCTGAGGTCACCAGGCATTGACAAAGATCACATGCTATAAAATGACGGGGTAAAATCTTTCACCACGTTAAATATCTTTGCTAAAATCTCGGTGCTCGAACCCTTTCGTATAAATCCATTCTGAATTAAACTTCCCAAAATAAAACACCTTAAGTGTGTGCTACACGAACGCTCGTAGTCTTAGAAATAAAACGTCCGAGCTAAGTCTGATGGTGCAAGAATTATGTCCCGATATAATCGTTGTTACAGAAACTTGGTTCACCGTTGATATAGACTGTTCTCCTTTCATTGCTGGTTATATCTGTATCAGAAGTGATAGAGTTTCAAGTCGCAAGGGGGAGGTATAATATTTTACGTTAGGGATCACTTTCGTATACAATCAACCATATCGGAGGCTCATATCAGTGGCACATGTGAGGTTGCATGTTGTAAGATTAAATCTAGAAATGGGTTAGTGACTATAGGGGGAATATACCGTAGTCCGTCTTGTCTGGCTGACGACTTTATCCTAAGACACATCTGTTCTTGGAGTATGGCAGAATGTTGTCTCATCATTGGGGACTTCAACGCACCGCATATCAACTGGATAGAGCTTACAGCTCCAGGTAGTGGTTTCGATAGCGACCTTTTATCTACCGTTATTCAGTGTGCACTTGTACAATGTATCACAAAACCGACACATATTGATTTGCATCATGTTCCGTCACTGCTGGACCTCGCCCTCACCCACCACTCTGAGGATGTCTTTGATATCCAGCACCTTCCTCCACTAGTGAACAGTGATCACGTTGTAATTCACTTTAAGTTTAGGACACATGGTATACAATTCGTATCTGCTCCACCCCGTCCCAATATCTGGCGAGCTAATATTCCGGAAATCAGAAACCGTGCTATCTCGACCGATTGGTCGGTCGACGCGGATGGATTGATCGAAGATGAATGGAATAAGTTTAAGGCTACATTCGAGTCCGTAACGTCGCCGTTTATCCCATGGTCAGCACGTAAGCTATCACATTGCCCTCCATGGATTAATAAGGAAACCCGGAAGCTGTTAAAGCGTAGGAAACATTTCTGGGACTTATTCTTGTTGACAGGTCATGCACCATTTAAGCGTGAGTATCAAAAATACCGTAATATCTGTAAGAAAACCATAGCGAAATCCCGTACCACTTACGAACGACAGTTAGTATATGATAGCCGTACTTGTCCGAAACGATTGTTTTCGTATGTTAAACGGCAAATGAAACGTAGTGATGGTATTCCCCCGTTGCTGTTACACGAAAATTCAGAATTACTAGCTGAATCAGATCGAGCAAAAGCTGAGACTTTTTCAGATTATTTTAGCGAAGTCTTCTCTACGTTTATTGTAACAAATACTTGTCCCACTCACACCGAGATACCAACCATTGAATCCGTACAGGTGACTGAGGAAACTGTCCTTCCGTTGATAACTAACCTCAAACCTGGTAAGATACCGGGCCCTGACGGGTTACATCCACGGTTGCTGTCATCTCTTGCGGACATTATTTCAAAACCGCTTGCGACACTCTTCAACATGTCCCTCTCACTCGCCCAACTCCCTAGAGATTGGAAGGACGCTATAGTTAGTCCTATATTTAAGGACGGTCAGCGACAGATAGTATCTAACTACCGGCCTGTCAGTCTAACTAGCATAGTCGTTAAGTTACTCGAAAAGATAATTCGGGTTAGGTTGCTAAGCCACATAGATTTACACAATCTGTTAGCTCCTGAGCAACACGGATTTCGTAACAAGCGTTCATGCTTGACTAACTTGCTTATTGCGAGGGAGGATTGGACAGCAGCCCTAGATCACGGTCTGTCTGTCGACGTGATATTCATAGATTTTAGCAAAGCGTTTGACAAGGTTTCACACGTAGGTCTTATGCAGAAGCTCACGAGCTTCGGAATAATAGGTACTGTACATGAGTGGATAGGAAATTTCTTATGTGACCGCAGACAGAGAGTTAGGGTCAATGGAACGCTATCCGATTGGAAGCCGGTCAAAAGTGGTGTACCCCAAGGCACCATCTTAGGCCCTCTGCTCTTCCTTCTCTACGTTAATGAGTTACCACTGTTACTTAGGTCGTCGACATTATTGTTTGCAGATGATGTAAAAATCTGGAGAACAATAAAAAGTGCGGCTGATCATGTGGATCTTCAAGCTGATTTAGACGATTTAGTTAGATGGGCTCGAGAGTGGGGCTTAGAAATTAATGCTAGGAAGAGTGTACTAATGCACGTCGGTCACGGTAATAGTTACCGTTACACTATTGAGGGTAAACCTCTTCCATGCGTTCAAGAGCATAAGGACTTAGGAGTAATATTAAGTCATGACTTAAAAACAACTGCGCATTGCAAAGCAGCCGCTGTCAAAGGTTTTCGTGCGTTATGGTCACTTCGCCGAGCGTTCAAATCTTTTGACGAGGAAACGTTTCGAATTTTATACCCCATATATGTTAGACCACATTTAGAGTACTGTATCCAAGCAGCTAGCCCGTGTCTAGTAAAGGATACTAACTCCCTTGAGCGTGTCCAGCGTGTGGGAACGAAATTAGTGAAGGGTCTTTCTAGTCTCCCTTACGATGAGCGCTTAAAACGCCTAAATCTTTTCCCCTTGTCGTATCGTAGGACACGAGGTGACCTTATACTGGCATTTCGTATCTTTAATTATGATTTGGGTGTTAATATGTCTTATCTTTTTGCTCCCTCCAGCACTAATAATCTCCGAGGTCATAGCAAGAAGGTTCATAAACCACGATCTAATAAACTTAAAGTGGGATCCCGTTTTTCTCATCGAGTAGTCAATCATTGGAACGCCTTACCCGAACAAGTGGTATCAGCCCCATCAGTGAATACTTTCAAGGAAAAGCTGGACCTTCACTGGAAAGCAATGTGTCAGGATTAACACAGGTTCATCAACCTACTATCCTTATTACTGAAGACTGATGACATCTTTCGGGACGGTCAACAAGTTATAAGCCATTAGTTTCCGCGCACATGTTGCATGTTGTCGAGATTTCTGAATGTCGTTGTTTATCAGCCATTAACAGCATTTTTCCGTCACACGTCAATTTTCGTGCTAGTTACATAGCACTTGTTCTATATATTAGCATTTAGACATTTGTTTTTTTTTAGACAACCTTGTGTGGTTATTTGTGACAATGCAAACTCAAGTAAATGAATTCACCATTTGTCAAGTCAAAAATAGACTGCAATCAGAGTTTTAGGAAAAAATGAGCCAAGCCCTTTTACATTTGATTCATATCCCTATCTGTGATGATGAACATGAATGTTGGTAGTTGTTTATAAAACGTAAGTTGAAGCAATTAGGCTTTCCACTAACTTTGAATATCATATGATATGTTAATATACAGACATAAACAGTTCTATCCATTTTAATTATCATCGTTTTGACTGAATTGACATGTTATTATACAAGGTGTCTGAGAAAACTCCACCTGAGGCCTCTTTGAGGCTATTGCTGGTCCCAGGCGGGGATAAAAGAGAGGGGTTGGGCATAAGGTTAGCAACTTCGTCCTGCAGAAAGCTAATTTGCTAAAAAACGCTAACCAGAAAAATTATTCAGATCTTCTAAACTCTGCCATGGGAGCCAGAAGGTTTTCATTTAGAAGAGTTATGACGCCTCATGGTGAAAACCAGTTTCTTCGGAAGCCACGAGGCTGATACTTCTATTGACAACCAAAGCAACCATCTATTTAGGTATATGGAATACTCTACAATGTAGAAGAACGGGAGAGTCCTACAAGCTGCTGCAGAAATTAGGAGATCAACCTGGAGGTGAAAGTCATTATACTAAATTTGGACAACAACGAATAGCTTCAGGGAGCTTCTGTTATACTCCAGCCATGATGAAGAAAATGCCCCACATACACAAGGAGTTGCATTGATGCTGTCCAAACAAGCACAAAATGCACTTACAAGATGGGAATCTCATGGATCAAGGTTCATCAAAGCCTCCTTAAAAACAAAGAAAGAGAGCATTACAATGAACGTCATCCAATGCTACTCGCCTACCAACGACTACAATGAAGACGCTAAAGACCAATTCTACGACAGACTGCAGACACTCGTCGAGAAGTGCCCAACAAATGACTCAACCATTCTGATGGGAGATTTAAATGCCAAGGTTGGAATGGACAACACCGGATATGAAGACATCATGGGACTGGGAGGAAGGAACGAAAATGGCGAGAGATTTGCAAACCTATGTGCCTTCAATCAACTGGTCATAGGCGGCACTATATTCCTACACAAATGCATACACAAAACCACATGGACTTCACCGGATCACACTACGCAGAACCAAATCGATCATGTCTGCATCAGCCCATAGTTCAGGAGGAAAATGGAGGAAGCGAGAACCAAGAGAGAAGCTGATATAGCATCAGATCATCACTTGCTGGTCGCCAAGATGAAATTGAAACTCAACGAGCACCAGACAACATTACAACAGGGCACTGGAAGCAGATGTAGCAGTAACTGCAAAAAATGAAAATTCTCTTCAGCACGATTCGGGATGAAGAACAAGTACCAACAGACCGGAAAGAAGGATTTCTGAACAAAATACTAAAGAAAGGCGATCTCGGCAACTGTGGTAACTATAGGAGCGTCACTCTTCTCTCGGTACCAGGAAAAGTCTTCAATAGGATGTTGTTAAACAGAATGAAGGACTCCGTAGACGCCCAACTTCGTGACCAACAGGCAGGATTCCGTAAGGACAGATCGGGTACAGACCAAATCGCAACACTACGGATCATTGTGGAACAATCGATTGGGTGGAATTCATTACTCGACATCAACTTCATTGACTACGAGAAAGCATTTGATAGCGTGGACAGAACAACACTATGGAAGCTTCTTCAATACTACGGTGTACCTGAGAAGATAGTCAATATAGTACGGAATTCCTGTGATGAATTAAACTGCAAAATCGTGCATGGAGGACAATTGACAAACTCGTTCGAGATAAAGACCGTGTCAGGC